ATCCTCCATTTTGTGATCTGATGCGATCATCCTCCATTTTCACACAACCCCGATTTTTGCATAACGACCTGGTCTTTGGAACACAGCCATGTAAATAAGTGAGGAGTGAGTGTATAAACATGTCACGTCTCCCTATGATATAAGTATTCATGGATCTGGAACTGTTCTATGCATGTTGCTTTCCCACTTGGCACGTTGTAAAAGCTAAATAAATGCCACAAGTAATTGTTCTCTTTCTCCACTTGAGATAGAACCAGTCAGCCTCTCGTTCACAATACCTGTGGTAAAGAGGGTCCATAAATCACTTGTGCTGCTTTCTTTATATATTTTCTGTGAAACTTATTAGTCAATCGCTGTATTACATAGGCAACCTTCCAACGAATAGATTTTTTTGTGGGGTGGGGAGGTGTTCATTGTTTTCCCTCAACATAGTCACAAAGTAATGGAAATTGAAGTTGTCAGAGTTAAGAGTTTCAACTTTAAATGCAATGGGCATCCATAATGCACCAGTGTACTTTATATATGGGTTCCCATCTAGGCACACAAACAAGCAGCCCTCCAGGCACCTCTGAATAGCAGGAATATTTACCCTTAACTTGGAGAGGAGCTACAACTCTAGCACACTTGTATAAAGTGCTTGATCTATTTAACAAGCACAACCCTTTGAAACCATGAAGTAAAACTGAATTAACCCACTGTCTTAGTTATCTAGTGCTGCTATACAGATGTACCATAAATGGGTGGCTATAGCAAATAGAAATTTATTTTCTCACAGTTTAGGAGGCTAGAAGTCCGAATTCAGGGTGCTGGTCTAGGGGAAGGCTTTCTCTCTGTGTTGGCTCTGGAGGAAGGTCCTTGTCTCTCCAGCTTCCTCTTCCTGGTTTCTTGGCAATCTCCATTTGTCTTGGCATCTATCTACCCCCATCTTTCCTCTGCTTGCTTGTTTAATCTCTTTTATATCTCAAAAGAGATTGACTCAAAATATACCTTAATCTAATCCTGTTTCATTAACCTAACAGAGAGGATAATTCACTTCCAAATGGGATTATAACCATAGGCATAGAGGTTAGAATTTACAATACCTATTTTTGGGGACCCAATTCAATCCATAATACCCACTGAATGCCAATGAAGCAAAAAGGCTGCACTAAACTGTATTTGTATCTACTGCCCAGCTGTATCTCCACCCTCCTCTGCCAGACTCACCGTCTGTCCTACTACTGTACCCAGCATCCTCCAGCTATGGCATGCCCTTGGTTAGCATCTACCCTCTGTAGACTCTATTTCTCCACACTGCTCCACTTGCAAGGCGATTCTAGCTCTCTAATCAGCCAGTGAAAACCCTATGGATCACAATGGTCCAATCCCCAACTGATCATAGGGTTGGCACAGGATCAGGCAGTGGTTCATTCTGTTGTGCACGGAGTCACCATAAGTCGGGGGTGACTTGGCAGCAGATAACAATAACATATTAAGTATCCATTTGCCTCAGACTGTACGTGAAGTTTCCTGCCACCTAAACATGCCTCACTTTGGGGTCAAATATTATTATCCCTAGAAGTTCTGAAAACTAAGTCGTAGATAAGCCATTAAAGGAGGCATTCCTTGTCTCGTGCATTATTTTGTATCATTCGTCATATCCTCAAACTGACTTAGCAAGGCCAAACTGGATTCTTAACCTCTATATTTCATTTTGGAAACCCTGGTGGCAGTGGTTAAGTGCTATGGCTGCTAACCAAAAGGTCGACAGTTCAAATCCACCAGGTGCACCTTGGAAACTCTAAGGTGCAGTTCTACTCTGCCCTATAGGGAGGCTATAAGTCAGAATCGACTCGACGGCAACTGTTTTTTTTTTTTTATGTATTTCATTTCATGAGCCCTGGTGGTACAGCAGTTAAAGCATTCGATTGCTAACCCAAAGGTCAGGGGTTCGGACCCACCAGCTGCTCTTCAGGAGAAAGATGTGGCAGTCTGCTTCCATAAAGATTACAGCCTTGGAAACCCTATGGGCCAGTTCTACTCTGTCCTATAGGGTTTCCATGAATTAGAATCAACTTGATGGTAACAAGTTTTTTGTTGTTGTTGCTATATTTCATTTCAGACCAGTCATATTTAGCATTTCTTCCACTTGTATGCTTCCATTTGCCTTCTATCCTTTCAGACTGCCGATTATGGGCGTTTTAGCAACAACCTGAGTTCCTTCAGACATTTCGCCTTAGTGACTTTCCTTGCTTGGTGCATCATTTCCTTTAGAGTTTGTATCCTACTGCTAAAATTCCTGCCCATTGACTGATTTCCATTGCATTTCTGGAGGGCTAAAAGTTAATGTGAGATTATCTAATTAAATAGAGGGAAAAAACCAACTGTTTGAAGACGGGACAAAATAGGAGCCCTCAGAGACTCTACTCAAAATCACACTCTAGAAAGTTTTACTTTGAGGGCTCTTTGGAATGTTGGTTTCAAAGTCTTGTAAAAAATTTACAAAATAAACCTGGTGAGATATTTAAAGAATTAGTGATGATAAGAAATTCACAAAAAGGGCAAGATTTTCATCTTCTGTCAATTGAGACGATACAGTAGTAAGTATAAATATGAGCTTTTGAAAACAGCTCCCTTTACATTCTTCTTTAGAATGCCATGACTCTTTCCAGTTAGTTAAATACTAAGACGGTGGAAGAAATACCCATCAGAATGGAGTGGGACAGTAGAAAGGCCACTGCAGCAAAACCAAGGCTATGTATTTGGGTGGGGGGCATCACTGAACCTTTATATGTTAATTTCCCGTGGATGAAAACAGTAGGTATATCTAACCTCACGGATATGTAGTAAAAACAGACGTGAAAACTCAAGGTGATATGTAAAGTGAGGTGGTAATATTACTCCCTAAATTCTGGAAACTGCTTATTTTCAGTTTAAATTCAAGTAACTTCCTTTTAACCTAAAAATTTCAAAGTATTTAAAAGGAAGTATAAGATGAGCCCATCTTAAGTTAACATGGAAAAGCACAGGGGGATCCTTTCCAGCACGTGTTATAGCTAATCACATAGGAAGGGTACGTAAACTTCCAGTTCATTCCAAAGTGGCTCTGCAAAATGGTACCAAAATTAATCAGCTCCACAAATACACTGTCTTCAACCTTCTAAGCATTACCAATGATAAAAAGAATTTATTAATTGCAAGAATAATTTACTCATCTTGTTTATTGCCTAAGTGTGCACAGAAAACTGAATAACATTAACAAATAACTCAATGTGGGTAGTCAAGATCAATTTAGAAGAGCAAGATATCCCTGACCCAACAGCTGTGGGCTTTACACATGGAGGTTTAGCTTATAGATATCAGAGTAGTGAGGGTGAGAGGAGGCAGGAAGCAAAGAGACTTGAGGATCCCCTTATAATAAAGTGTGCATCATTTTTTTTAACTTTTTTCACTTGAGCTTTCATTATTAAATAAAAGAATATTAATCTCCATTTATAATTAGAATAATCCGTTTTGGACTAGTCTTATACTTCCCTTGGCTGATTTTATACTACTACTTATGTAATGGATTATAAAACTAAATGAATTTATTTTTGTTATTTATAGTCATTAGGAAAATTACATTTCCATCTTCAAGACAGTATTCTAGATCTTTCTCTCTCTCTCTTCTAGGGTAATGTGACAGGGCTTCACAGCTCCTAAAAGTGCTGAAAACTAAGTGGTAGATAAGCCTGAAACTTAACGGCTGTGAAGTCCTTAAAAAACAATACTGCGTTTTTAATGGAGTTACACAGAGTGAAACACTAAAGCGGTTCTGCTTTCCCTGCATGTGTTTTTCTCACTTGAAGTTAGAAAAGAAGCTCAGTCTGACTGAGCTAGGTGGGGGGTAAAGAACTCGTCAGGTTTTACACATGAAAGCAAATGCTTAGAAACAGAATTAAAAGCCAATGTACACTAAACTCTTCGTGTTAACTGATGCCAGCCCTAATCTGTACTCAAAAAGTAGAGTGTGAACAGTTCAGCGCCGACCTCTGTGTCCTTGCAAGGAGCAGGGTCCTGCACAGCATGCAGCAGTGCTAAGAATCAGTAGTGCATCCCCCTCAGAATCCAGCAGTAGTCCGCGTTTGTCACATGCACCTCAGAGAGTGACAGATTTAAGACGGAAGGTACTTCACAAAACCTTCTGGCCCAGACCATGGGGTCAGAGCAGAAACCCATGTTTCATGGAAACTTCATGTCTCACATGATATCAATAAAAAATTAACTAAAAGAAAAAAAGATTTCCATGGCCAAATATGTGAGAAACTTTAAGTCAGTCAAGGTTAAATATGTTTTTTTCATTCCTGTAGGGCTTCACCAAGTCTTCAGTACTTTAATGTGCACAAGAGGTTTCCTAGTTTTGGGGCGTGGGAACTCTTTTTGAAGGGATTTCTATTAGGCTAAGGAGCCCTGGTGGCACAGTGGTTAAATGCTCTGCTGCTAACTGAAAGGTAGCAGTTTGAACCTACCAGCTGCTCCAGAAACATGTGGCAGTCTACTTCTGTAAAGATATACAGCCTTGCAAACCCTATGGAGCAGTTCTTCTCTGTCCTATAGGGTTACTGTGAGTTTAGACTCCATGACAACAGGTTTTGTTTCTTTGATATCTATTAGGCTAGCACTAGGTTCTTGTGTTCCATGAGGCACAGTTTGGGAAATGTTGAGATAACATATTAGCATCCTTGATTCATAGGTGAGGGAGTTAAGGCCCAGGGAGACTATGTTCTAGAAGGTGGTGGAGAACTCAGGTCTCCAACCTCCTAGTACAAACTCTTTCTAGGGTCAGACATGTGAGAAAAGATAAAATGCAACCCGAGTTCTCAGCAACATACATACCCTGGAAAACCAAACCAAGCCTGTTGCCAAGTCGATTTCAAATACCCTGGAAGGGTCTCCTCAAACTAATGCTTCCAAAAGTAGTATACACATATTCTTCCTTTTCTGGCTCATCAGGACACTCTGACCTCCCCAGTCAAGATTACCTGATACAAAGGCGTGCAGATGCTATCAATCCATTCCAATTGCAATCGAGGCAGTTCATCTTTCCGGTTCCGATCAAAAATAGCCTAGAATGGAGGGGAAACTTGCTTTATTAGACTGGAGTATTTTACAGGTGCTTTGTCAAACACTTTGCCACAATGATCCAATTTTTACCAACTGAACACTTCACAAATCACAATCAATCTTTACATGTACTTTCTTTTATCTATGATAAGAAATAAACTATTTTCCCCTCTTTTTATGAGATTTCTAAGGGAATATATTTGAACTTTATAGCACACAACTCCTTGAGGCCAAAATCTGTCTTCAGATATAGGTAACTGCTACTAAAATCAAGCCATCAAGTCATTGGGAAATCGGGTACAAGTCAAGGAGGAGGAGACATATTTTATTGCCATGATGATAATGCAAGCTTTTATTTTTATAGTGGAGGAGTATGGGAGAGAATGGGATAGATTAGAAAAGATCCTTAAAAGGAATTTCATTATAAATAGAAGCCATCAATATTAATTTTTTTCAGGTGTTAGTCTGATAATTTTTTGTGTTTTTCAAGAAGGTTTTGTCTTTAATAAATTCCAAAATTTTTATCTATGACTGATGGACGGTCGCGGGAGACACTCGTTCTTTCTCATTAGTCCCCGTCTTTAAACTTAATGATGTTACAATGTTTGAGATAATTTAGGTGTATTTTTGAGAAAAGGAAGCGACGTATGTCTGTTGGGCAGGCTTAAAACGAGAAACAATCAATTGAAGTTGGAGGCTGGAAGGCTAAAATGGATTCCTTGAATAAACTTTGCCAACTCTACTCTAGTGAGAATGTCCCTTCCTTGGTTCTTAAAGATTAAGGCCAGGGTCTAAGGAAGAGGATAAGTGGATAAGTAAGTGGGAGCCCTTACTTATCTAGAAGGCTTATAACTTGCCCTGCCTTATTGCCTTAAAGTAGGCTTTATCTTTCCTCTACATAAAATGCAGCATCTACATCATTTCGGTATTCATGTAGGTCCTCAGGGAGAATCCAAGCCATACCCTGGGTACCAAAAACAAAAAACCAAACCCTTTGCCATCAAGTCAATTCCGACTCACAGTAACCCTATAGGACAGAGTAGAATTGCCCCATAGTGTTTCCAAGGCTGTGATCTTTAGGGAAGCAGACTGCCACATCTTTCTCCGGAAGAGCAGCTGGTGGGTTCAAACTGCTGACCTTTTGGTTAGCAGCCAACTGCTCTAACCACTGTGCAACCAGGGATCCTCACTCTTGGTACAGCAATGTTGACAAAGCCTGAGTCCTTCAGGTTTATGGGCAAGGGTGGGTGAGGGTGGGAGTGGGTGGGGCAAAATTAGCAGCTGCCAAGGCTCACAAGAGATAGAAGGCCACTTCAGGGGAAATAATCTCCAAATTAGGGAGAAGGTCACCGACTCCCACAGGTTCTGTTCATCCCTTGTCTTGCAATATAAAATGTTAAATATCAGGAAAAAGGACTGAAATGCAGAGAAGACTGAAATATGCTAGAGAAACGGATGGTTCTTGAGAACTCTGAGTCTTGGTCCAAAATGTTCCTTAAAAAAATTTGCTTCTGTTTTATTTTCTCTATCATTCTCATTGTTCCCTGACATTTTTTTACTTAATTAATTGCTGTGTCCTTCCTTAGTGTGTATTATAAGTCATTTCTTTTTTCAGTTTGGTAATTTTTAGTATATTCACAGAATTATGTAACAATTTCCTAATCCCAGGTCATGAAGATTTACACTTACACTTACTTCTAAGTTTATAATTTTAGCTCTTACATTTAGATCTCTGATCTATTTTGAGTTTATTTTTGTATATGGTGAGAGGTAGGGGTCCAACTTCATTCTTCTGCACATGGTTAGTTTTGCAGTTGTTCTAACACCATTTGTTGAAGAGACTAGTTTTCTCTATTGAATTGTATTGGCAAGTTTTTGGAAAACGGGTTGACCATAATTTTAAGGGTTTATTTCTGGACTAGTCACTTCTAAATAAATGTCTGATGAGAGAAAAACGAATGAGAGTGTGAGGTACTACACTGTCCTGAGCTTTTCCTATACAGCATTTTGCAGCCTTGTAATTGATTGTTAGTGACTATTTATTTAATGTCTAATTTCTCACCATTTGACAAGTTCTTTGAGGGCAAGCAAGACGGCACCTTGTTCACTGCTGGATACACGGTGCTCAGCTTCATGCTCGACACACAGAGATGCTCAAGCCGTGTTTTAGTAACTGACTCACTGCTTCCAGTACTAACCCTTTGGCTGTGATCCTAATCAGACCTTTGTCTTCATAAAGTTACTCTGATGACTTCTAGGATCATGACACCTGAAGGGGACTCCCAGACACTTTTCTTCCTAAATAACAAGGAATAATGGACACAGCAGGCATCAGCTCTGGGTGCATGCATAACCAGATATCTCTGGGAAAGGGCCAGTGGGGGACCCCATGGCCACAGCAGCCCAGTCTCTCTTGAGGGGACAGTCACCAGTCATGTTAAGTAGCCTTTTGTGAGGAGAGAATATCATTTAGAGATATGTTTCCACTGCTGAATTAATTATAATTATGCCTTCAGAAAATGCCTTAGCTGAGCCTGCAGCAAAGGCTCCTTAATGCTGCCCCACTGCACCCTCAGCCCTCCAACACTGGCGATTTACTCATATTTTTTTCATTTAATTAAATGACCTGTGGTATTGCTATGTTGTAAACCCTTCAGTGGGTGCCTTTGAAACGGTTTTTAAAAGGGGAGCAAAAGCTTTTATTTGTAGTTGAGAGAAATCTGGGTGTACTACCTTTTAGACATTAACTGTATATACCCCAAACTAACATATATATTTTTAAAAGCCAAATTTGGTGACACCACCAAAAAAGAATAAAGGGATGTTTTCAAAATACATAGTATACAAGTTGCTTTAAAAACTTAAATAATTAGCATGTGTGTCAACCTCTGTAGTCGTCTGACCTTTCATAGGTAAGCAACCAATTAAAAATAGACAAGACCATTAAGACTACGATTTCTGACTTCAAACAGGTGAAACTATTTAAGCTAGGGCTTGTTCTTTTCCTTGCTTTTAAACGTCAGCAAAGAAATGTGTCTTAAAACTTGAAGATCTTATTAATATTTCCAAATGTTTAAAACTCAGTTGATTTCAAACCTCATAAACAGACATTTCTCACAATTGACACATTCTTTGAGCCTCATTGACTCTATTGTGCTATGCCAGGCTTTCAAATACTTTCCACCATCTCAGAGATGCTAGGTTATATGTTCTGAGCTATCCACTCATTAAGAATAAGAGGCTTCCCTCTTCTTGAGGGTGGTCATTGAGGCATTTATGTCTTCTGTATCCTCATGAGTAAAAACTTGGCATCATCCTGGGCCTCCAGGAAGCATTCATAAATAACAATTAAATGGGCAAGCCCAATATAAATAGCATTTCAATCACCAGAACCTAGTTCCCCAGGTGAAATTTTTCATTGTGCAAACAAAGAAAAGAAAAAGACTTTACATGGCTTGCTCTTGGGATTTTGAAAAGTTCATAGTTGGAAAACAAAATCTGGAATTCTCCATTATTTACTGCAACTGTCTGTTCTAGCTTCTCAAGGCTGGGCAGCTTATCTTTAATTGTTTTGTGTATTTCAATTCCGAAGTAGGCATTGCTCACATATGAAATGCCAGCAGTGGGCTCTGTGTTATTCAAATTCCACTTTCAACCTTCTCCCTTGTTCCTACTTGTCCCACTGTGGGTGCTCAGGAAATGCTTGTTATGTAGGAGCTCACCACTCTTAATCAGAAACCTGGGAATCAGACTGTTAAGCATCTAAGTTTAATTAAAGAGTTAAACTTTCAGAAGTGCTTCCTTAAATCCATTCTTTTCCTTCCCCACTTTCAAGTGGTGATTTGGAGTTATTTTTGAAATAGCTACTCAAAGGGGTAAATAAATCATAATAAAGGGAGTTATTGCTTAATGGGTACAGAGTTTCTGTTTGGGGTGATGAGAAAGTTTTGGAGATAAATAGTGTTGATGGTTTCCCAACATGGTGATTATAATTAATGCTACTAAATTATACACTTACAAATGGTTAAGACAGCAAGTTGTAGGTTATACATACTTTACCACAATTAAAAAAAAATCTGATAAGGTCACTAGGATATCATTTGGGCAACCCTTTCAAATTCCAGAATATCAAGGCTGGCAAAATCCAAGAATTTCATCCAGGAAATCTACTTTCATTCTTTATTTTTATAATTTCTACTAATATAGTATTGCCATATGTTATGGATTGAATTGTGTCTCCCAAAAATATGTATTGAAGCCCTAACCCCTGTACCTATAAATATGACTAGTTGGACTTAGGGGTTTTCTTTATTTATGTTAATGAGATTATACCAGAGTATGGTGGGTCCTAAACCTAACCACTTTTAGTGGTGTCTCACAAAAAGAGCAGAATAAACACAGAGTCATACACACAGGGGTGAGGGGTAGCGGGACAGATACCATTTGAGGACCCACTGACAAGCAAAGGAACACCAAGAATTGCTGGCAGACACCAGAAACTAGGAGAGAGGCCCACAGAAGGAATGGACACGGCCAAGACCCTGATTTTGACTTTTAGCCCCCAGAGCTGTGAGAAAATAAATTCATGTTCTTTAAAGACACTTGTGGTATTTTTGTTGTTGTTGTTATGGCAACACTAGGTAACTAAGGCTCCGTAATAAAGCGAGGTGTCAGCAAATAGGATGCGAAACAAACAAAAAAGGATGAACTTACTGAAGGAGTGAGTTTGAGTTCTGATCTCTCCCGATCTCCTTGTTCAAAGAACTCACTGGTTACAAGTTCAGCCACCTGAAACATATACATATTTTAATTTATGGTTATGTGTAATTTATCATGAGATTCAGAAGTTATTTTCAGCTTATGTTTATGGTGATTATTTTCAACACCAATAATCATGGTGAAAGCTTATGAGGAAGTACATTAACCTTTTGGATTTGAAGATATTACAGAATTTCGTCAATGAAACTGATTTTCTTTTAATCTGAACTTGTGCAATGTATTGTTAGATGTATGAGAGCAAGGATAAATTACCCAATAAGCAAGGTAAGCGTGTGTTTAGGGCAGTAACAAAACAGGGGCACCAATTGTCCAGAGCAAAGACCCTAGATGCCAAGCAGACAGAACACAAGAAAAAGAGCACTGCAGTTGAAGGGAACTGGCAGAGCACTAAATGGAATTGATACCACTCCAGTGTGCGAGAATGTGCTGGCCGGAAATAAAGTTCGTGAAGGGTCACGAGGGAGCCCACATGCAAGGTAGTTTTAGCCATGAGGCCCCTATCACTTCAACACCTTTATTGACATCTGTCTCCTATAGTCCCCTCCCATGTAATTGAAATTCCTTATCTCAGTGTGCCTCTTGGGAGTATACCATGTCTTTCTAATAAACAAGAGATGGGGTGGACTATTGAGTCTTGCTGCATTCACCCAATATGCAACTGGATCCTACCTGAGCGGTTACTGGGCAAGGACAGATTACATTATTAGATAAATGCTCTCTGATCCATTTGGAGAGAACCATCTTGTATATCTCTGTTTGCTGATCCAGCAACTCCAGCCTACACAAGTAGGCATGTATGATTCAATAATAGAAGATAAAATACAATGCATATTTCCCAATGTTAAAATTACTTTATGCATATTCCTAACTTTAATGAGCACACACTGCACAACAGAATGCTCATTTTCGTCCCTAAAGAGATTCAAAAACCCTCAGTGTACAAAAATGATTCCAAAAAGACTTGATACATTATCCTCATTATGTATGGAAGTAGATATTGTTCAGCGACTTAATTGTGATAAAATCATTTAAGAATTTGTAAGAGCAAAGAATAGAAAGAAATGTTTTTAATTATAACGTTAGAGATGAAAGATCTATCTAAAAATAAAACATAGTAATTTGTTGTAATATTTGTTTTCTGATCATTACGTTTTCTTTTATGACATCTTTTCATTTGTTCATATTTATAATTATAGCATTTATTATGAAACAAGCAACAAAACTGAATATGAGCTTTTTAAAGCAAAATTGGTGAAAGTCAATTTTTCGTTGTACATCAACAGAATTTTACATCGATTGTTGAAATGACTAAATTCACTGATTCATTTCCTTTGTTGTAGAATATGTAGAATATTCTTTTTGTAGAAAATGTGGTATAGTAAAAATCTTAGTATCCTTTGTCCACTAAAAATTTTATAATCCAGTTCATCTCATTCCACTAAAATGGCCACTTTTGCATTCAATCGCTAATGTAGTCACATGTAAAAAGAAGTTACATCATGGATAGCTAAGACACACACATGCGTATATATATGTATATACATGGATATATCTAATTCACATATCCCGTTCAAATGTGTGAGTAAGCAGAGGAAGGAGGACCACAGATTATCAGTGTTTAGGGCCCTCAGATGCCTTAATCTGGCCCTGTATGAGAGATAGACCATCTCCCATAATACAGCTTCCATATTGGGATAAGGCACTCAGTTGGGAGTAAGTAGTATGTGTTCTTATAAAGAAAAATGAAGCAAATAATTTAATAATCATTTATGCTATTATTATATATTATCATATTATATTATTTTTACAGCAATAATTTAATTTTTGGTTGTTTCTATGTAGATTTTTATCTCATGGCATATGTTTATCTTAGCTTAGCTTCATCTTGCCACCATAAAAAGTGCTTAACTGCCTTGTTCTACCAATACTTTCATACACTCTGGAAGGGAGAACCCCAGGACCCACTCTCTCCTTCCTACTGAAGCAATCAGTCAAGGGGCAGCACTCATGCTAGGTTATTTGTTCATACCAGACTTTTACAGTATATCACAATATAGTTTGAAGAATGTAATTTGGTCTTCAGGATCTCTGAATCTCTAAAGTGTGAATTTATAGTAGGCTAAAATATTTAAAAGTAGGTGCAAGCACAATGTAATGGCTGTTTTGCCCCAAATCAGAAATTTTTCCAAAGTAATGACTTGTATTTTCTCACTTTTCATGCATTTGAGTGGATGATCAGCAGTTGCTGACCATGGTCAAGCCCAAGAGATATTTTTCCTTCTCGAAGCCCTGTTCTTCTAAGGATAGCTTGTGAGAAGCAACTGATATAACAGGCAAGTGCTGAACAGGCATTTTCAACGATGAGGTGGTGTGCATCTAGGAAATCTCTGGGATGAAGAACTAGCTGGATTTACAAAATACTGAAAGAAAAGAAAGAATCCCAGACAACTCGATGGCAAGAAGACCTGGATCCCCAAAGTCATTTTTCTCTATTCCAGGTTCTTATAAAGATGAGGCTCTTAGGTCTGGCCAGAGGTAAGAAGGGTTTAATTTCTGTCAAGTGCATAGAATCAAGATAATTTACCTAAGTATCTCTCAAAAGATTTTTGTCAACCATAAGTTACAGAAAAAACTTAAAAACAACATCAAACTCAGATCACAAAAAAATAAAAATAAAAAAATCTGAGAGTTGCAAGTATTCATTTATAAAGAAACAGAGTATCTAGTCCATTCAGATTTTTAACATTTCTAATAAGAAACATGGGTCTCTTTAAAGAACTCAACAGCATAAAACTAGTTGGAACTGACTTGAAAATTAACCTCTCCCTGACCTCTGGGTCAACAATCACCTCAAGTGTACTTCTGCCCATTTTCTAGGACTTGGTTCACTTCTTTCCTCTCCAGTCTCTGCCACTACCTTTCATTTCAGCACCCGAGGCCTCTCTCCTTCCTCTGGCCTTCCTGTAAAGAAGAAATGGTCCCCTAAGGGTATGGCCTCATTTATTCAGTTCCCAGAACTCTCCCTCAGATTGCTCTGAGGCTGGGTTTTTTGCACTAAAGAATGTAAATGTGCTCATCAGGCCACCCCAAGGTAGGAGTCCTGCACAGATCTGTAGCCCTGGAAAGCAAAGAAATTAAACAGAAATCCTGCCCTTGCTCTTCCTAAGTGGTCTCGGGTATCTCCCCTGTGCTTTTTTCACAGCTCAACTTGTGCCACTATTTTGTTTGTACTTAAAAACTCAATCAGGAACATTAAGTGGCTCCTGATTGAATTGTTTATTAAAGAAGGAAATTGAGATGCTAATCAGGCCTTGGGGGGTCACTGGGGAAACCCACATGCTTAGAATCACATTCATGAGAAAGGAAAACAAATTTTGAAAGGCAAGAAAAAAGATCAACATCTAGGTAGAAATATCTTGATTTCTTTTAAAAGAGACTGCTTTTTTTGGTCAAAGTGTTTATTAAAATCTTAGAGTGAGTACATTTTAAAAAATATCTTAGCTTGTTCAATTTGGAGACAAATACCAATGATATCCAGTTTAGAGCTGTGAAAAGGTTTCTGAAGAAAGCATTTGGAAAAACATGGCTTTGTGTTTTATATCTCTGAACTCTTGATTGTCTGCACTATCAGCAAAACTACACATCCTAAAAATAAAATAATATTTACATCAGTGACCAAGAAGACCACCTGCAAACAGCCACTGGGCCTCCCAAGTTGGTCTAAAATATTATTGCAGAAGCTTTTTCTTTCGAAGTACTTTGCCCTGTCACTTTCTTGGCTCCAAGTGGGCTGCTGCTCCTTGAGTCCTTGATATGGGGTTTCCGAAGGCCCCGATGCATCATACCTCAGTGTCCCTCTTTCATTCAGCTCTGTTGCCCCCACCCCCAACCACTCTTCACCCCTTCAGTCTCTGTCATAGAGGGCATCCCCAGTACTACACTTTTTCCAAATACCTGGAAGAGCCACCCACTTCTTAGCAGTTTATTCTCAAACTCTACCCTATGGGTGGCCTTCCCACACTGGGGAAGTGAAGGGGAACAGAGATGTGGAAATAAGCGACTCAACCACACAAAATCTCCACAATTACCCTTCTTTACCTTATGCACGTCAAATGTGTCACATTAAAATTCAAACCAAAGTTTAATTGGAGGAGCGCTCTGCAGGAAAACTGCCTAACCTGCATTGGACTGTGATGTAAGACAGAAATAAACTTTTATTGTGTTAAGCGACTGAAATTTCAGAATTTATTTCTTGATAACGTTGAATTTTACCTGAACCCTGTGATACTGGAAAACAGCGATGGTTAAACAAATCCCCTGTCGTTTGTGTTCAGGAAAATGGCTTACTGCAAAGAACTGCCTTTCCCATATGACTTAGATAACACGGCTGCCCCCTTGTTTACCTATGACAAGGCCAGACACAGACCCACCAAATTTCTATTCCTTGCCTCATAAATGAGTAACTGAATTGCTTGTCCCACTGATCAATGAGAAACCAAGTGCTTGTTAACCAAACTTTGGTTAAGCTTCTCTCCTTCCCCCAAGTCCCTGAACTCTGGCCCACCCTCAGCCTGAGCCAACATACTAGCCCTCAGCAAGGGCCCTTCGCCGAGAATAGACTGACCTTGGCATAAAACATTCTGATTTACTACCTGAAGTCACCCTTTTATCTCACTTCCCCACACCTGGGTTTTTTCTAGCTTGTTTATTCTCAGTCTCTATAAAAGAAAACTACTTTTTCCCTAACTCTTTGAGACGCTTGCTGATCTTATGGTCAGAGTGTTCTCCCTGTTACAGTAGACCCCTCTTCTATTGTAACAGTCCTTTCCTTCCTTTTCTTGCTGAATAAAGCTTCCACTTATCAAAGTCTGGATTAGTTTTTTATCTGATGCTCTGGAACAGAGCCTAGCCTAGTCTCTTGTTGTTGCTGGGTGCTACTGAGTCAAGTTTTGACTGACAGTGACCCCATGTGACAGAGAAGAACTGCCCCATAGGGTTTTCTAGGCCCTGGTGATACAATGGTTAAGAGCTACCAAAAGGTCAGCAGTTCGAATCCACCAGCTGCTCCTTGGAAACCCTATGGGGTAGTTCTATGCTGTCCTTTAGGGTCGCTATGAGTTGGAATCAACTGGACGGCAATGGGTTTGGTTTTTTTTAAATCTTTACAGGAGCAGACCACTAGGTGTTTTTCCAGAGGAGCTGCTGGGTGGGTTCAAACAATCTTTCAGTTAGTAGCTGAGAGCTTAACTGTAGCGCCACCAAGGGCTCCTAGCCTAGATTGATATAAAAATTGGTATGAGGTAAGGTGCTGCTATTGGAAAGGAAAGGGATGGGAAAGGAAGAAAAGGGAAGGGAAATGAGGGAAGGGAAGGAAAATAAAGGAAAGGAAGGGGAGAGAAAGAAGAAACCTAAAATACGTGGCATCAGTTTAGGAGCCAGGTATGAGATAGTGAGGAGGCTGTAAGGATTATGGTGCATGTTACAAAGTAAAAAAATATTTTGTACAATTCTCACTAAAATAAAGCAAATAATGTACCTAATGAACGTATAGCTTCAGGGGAGGAGATTGGAAAACAAAATATTAGTAGCAGGTGATGATTGCTATTGACTATTTCTTGCTAGGTATCACAAGAGGTGAGCTCAGGAAAGGACATCAGGTTTATAGCCAGGAATGAAAGGGAATGGAGAAAGTCACAAAGTCAGGGTCTTATAGGGATGAAAGATAAAGTTACTTCTCAACACCAAACAGTAAAAATGAAAATTGAGATATGCTTTGAATGACAAAGACCAATTACGACTCAGCCATGCAACAAAAATCAAATCAAACGTATGGCCAACATGCCCAGAGTTTAAAACTCTGAAATAATTAGGTGGTATGCAGCAAATCTTTTTAACTGCACAAAAATGACTCAGAGTAATTAGTCTATATGGTTCTCTCATTAAAGCCTGTTTAGCCCAAGGTACTAGGAATTAAGTCATGAAAGAGAAGAAAGAAATATATTTGCTATATTTCTTTACTTCTGAAAGTAAGCAAGCAAAGAAATATGGAAAATCTAAGAAGTTTGTATAGAAAAGAACAGTGGATGTGGTTATTGGTACATGGAAATAACTAGAATCAAAGACTTAAGAAGCTAACTAAATGTTTAAGAGTGTTTTAGTGTCAAAGAAACCATGAGCTTGTGACTATTTAAGACTTCAAACAAGCCTTGGGCCCTCAACCTTCTGTAGATGGGAAGTGAGCTAAGAAAGCTGCTTGGCCTTCAGATATAACCATGGAGGATAATAGAAATGGAGTAATTTCCCAGGCAGATCTAAAGGTGACGGAAAAAAGTGAACTGGGGAGTCTCTCCTAAAGGGCCCAAGACAGGGTAGGCGTCCCCCAGTGAAAGTCCAGCAGGATGTTGGAACTGTTATAGGCCACCAACACCAAATATTGCCCATCTCTTCCCATTGTGAGTGGAGTGTTCAAATGGATATTTTGTGTTTTGAGTATATGCTAGACACTGCATTTGGGTGTACATAGGTCTTTAGTTTGCTTCCAGATCTGATGCAGAGTCTAACATGTATCACCTAGAGATTCTGAACTTTGAGCTTTATGCCTTGACTAATGGGACATTTAAGTTGTCTCCCCTGGGGAGAGGATGAATATATTTTGCCTGCAGGAAGGATAGTGAATCACATTTTTGGTGACTGGAAGAGCAGACTGTGGTAGTATGTTTTCGTCAACTATTTTCAGCTTTCTACTTTCTGGGCACATGGAAGCATCGTACTTCCTGGTCCCCTTGTGGTTGGGTGAGGTCATGTGACAAGTTCTGGTCAATGAATTATTTGGGATGGGGGCATTTAATTGCCAGTTCAAGACTGTCCAGGGCTCTCTTTGCCTCTGCCACAATGAATGGCAATAATCCCAATAGCAGCTGCTCCAGAATGAAGATAGAGTTCCCATCTAATCCTGGATGCACATGTGTGTGAGCCATTTGTTGTTTTTAGCCATTGAGATTTGGGATTTAGTGATATCATAGCATATTCTGCTAACACACTTGCATCATTTAAAAATGTGGACTAATGCATTCTATGTAGGAAAGTGTAGAACACTGTTAAGAATGAAGGCTTTCAACCTAATCTGCTAGGATCTGAATACCTAGCTCCACCCTTACTAGGTATATGACCTCAGGCTACTTATCCTTTCTAAGCCTCATTTTCCCCATTTATAAAATGGGGATAATAACTGTACCAGTTTCCTAGGTTGCGGAAACAAATTACCTTAAACCTGGGGTAAAACTTGTTCTCCCATCGTTCTAGAGGCCAGAAGTTCAACATCAGTTTCACTGGGCCAAAATCCAGGTATCAGCAGGTCCTCACTCCCTCTGGAGGCTCTAGGAGAGAATCTGCTCCTTGCCCCTTCCAGCTTCTGGTGGCTGCCTGTATTTCTTTGCTTGTGGCCTCACCACTCCAATCTGACTTGCGTCACACCACCTTCTCCTCTTCTCTATGTGTAATCTCCTTCTCAAAAAGAGACTGTGATTGGATTTAGGGCCTGCCTGAATAATCCAGGATAAACTCCCCATGTCAAAATCCTTAACTTAATCACATCTGCAAAGTCCCCTTTTCCTTCTAAGGTAACATTTACAAATTCTAGGGATTAGGACCTGGTATCTTTAGGAGCCATTATTCAATCTGCTACAATAACTATACCTACCTCGAAGGGGGGTTTTGAGGATTAAATGAAATAATACATATAAAACAGTCAATAAATATTAGTTTTTGACTGTTATATAAATGTATCTTATTTATCCTAAAATGTCAAGTCTTAAGATACCAAGTTACTGTTTTGGACTCCACTGCCCACTCAGTAGGTGCCTCATAAAACTTTAAGAGCTATTAACTTCCAAATAATATTAGTAGTAAAGGATCTTACATCGGGTAGTTACCTGACTGAAAACTATCATTGCCACAGAACCAACAATTTTCGGCAGTGAAATCCAATAGGCAGTAAAGGCATGGTTTTGGGTACAAATTAAACTGAACACTGCACACTTTACCCAAAAAGCCCCCGATCTCTAAACAGCCTTCTAAAAGAAAAATACAATTTCCTTTTTACCTCCTCTTTTTTTTTTTCAGATGTGAAAAACAGGACCTTGTGCTTAAACATGATTACCTATTTTAAAACATTATTTTTGAAACTCTTGCCTTAAGAAATGGTCAAAATGTTATTTGATTTAGTAGGCTATCTTACCAAGTATGGAAATATTATTGCTCAGTAGAAGCTCGATAAAGAAAAAGACCGCGCAATAAACTATGTCGTGCCCAAGCCTCCTGCTATTTTTTACACCATGTTAATACTGATGCAAATTTACTAGGGTTTCAGTGTCTGGGAGCGGGGGCTCTGGGAATATCGCCCCCCCCAGACCCTCCACCGCTGATCCCTGTCATTAATCACCACTTGCCTGTCTTGAGATCTCCCACGGCTTGGTCACGGCTCCAAGGTCACAGGCTGTCATTAACATTGATCTGAAAAACAGAACCAAACAAAACAGCCTGAATAATCTTTTGTTGCATTCTTAAACAAACCCATCCCAGATACATAAATAAATAAAATGAAAACAAGGCCAGCTCACATCATCTTTACCTCAACAAGGGGCAGCACTGTTTATAGTCCCTACGCTCAGCATCTCCATCATGTGGCTACTCGGCTTAGGAAGACAAAGCTATCACACATCCTCCAGTGGCCCTTTTGTTTGGTCTGCAGCAGATCAAGGAAAGCAAAGCACTATTTTCTCAATACCTGAGCTAAGCAAGCTCTGTTTAAAATAATTTCTAATGGACAATGCATTTTTTTTTTTTTTTTACTATAAGCATGGGAATCCATATGTAATGCTCTGTACATGGCTGATGAATCTATTTACCAACTTACCACTGATTGATCGGAATGGAAGAAAACCCATACCAAAGAGGAGAGGCGCCTTCATTTTCCTCTGCTCTGTAGAGCTAAGATTTACAGGGAAGAGCCACAGTTTCACTCCAGTTTACAAGCTGGCTACAACCATGTTTTATAAGCATTATGAAGAAAAAACATATTCAGCTACAGCTTTCATTAATTTAAGTACATAAGAGAGCACAGGAAGATTCGAATTTGATTTTTGAGGGGCGGATTTCTATTGGGTTTAACTAGAATTCACGCTGAATTGTAGATATAATAACATTGGGAACAATTAAAATTGTAGATAGCTCAGGTGCTTATAATTTGAAGCTGGAAATAAGGCATACTCTTTGTACAAAGTCTGCTTTCTTTGTACTAAAACCAGCAGTATCTGATGACAAGGAATGAAGACTTTGAGCTGGGAAACGACATCTTGGCTAATTCCTTTTGGAAGAAAGGGGTATGTTGTCAAAGGTCAGAGGGCTGTCCAAATGTCAGGTGTTAAAATTTCATCACCTGCCAGATTCCAACTCCTTGGAAACATGTCTGCTTCCCAGATGGCAGAGCGTGCCTAGATGCGAGTGGGGTTTGTGTAACTTCCCCTGGAAGTCCCTCTAGGGAACAAGGCAGAGTTGCAGATAACAATGGGCCATTCAGAGCACAACCAGGCAGCACAAGCATACAGCCCTGCAGAGGCAAGCTGTATTTATGAAGCGTCTCATTCCAAACATCCCTGTGCTAAGCACTATATAAGGAGAGACACATTAGCCTATTCTTCATATTTGATCTTCTGTAACCAGCACTTCTACAGTGCTTACTGTGTGCCTGCTTCTGTTCTAAGAGCTTTATAAATACTAAAGGAATGAATCCTCAGCACAGTCCTTAGAGGTAGATATTATTATTCCTATTTTACAGAGTCGTAACCAGAAGCTTAGAGAGATTAAGTAATTTTCCCAAGGCAAGTAAAGGATTCAGGGTTCTATGCTTATCACAATACTATCAGACCACCACTTGCTATACTCCAGTGCTTCTCATAATAGGTTCTGCGGGTACCAAGGGGAACAAGTCTGTAGGGTAACGCACCGGGCTTTGCAATCTTTTTCCTGGACAGGCAAAAATATAATCAGGAATTTCTGTGAGGTTGCCTTCTTGTACCATAACTTGGGTTTCATCAGCTTGATAATTTGTGGCCTACTTCTCCAATTGTTTCAAGTTCATTGAGTTTATTCAAGTTCATTCCAGTGGTTGCCTGGTTGTGGAGGTGATACAGTGAGCCTAGAACGCTGGCCTCACAAGCTTTCCCAGTAATACTTAGCAGCTTTAGAACAGGAATAAGAAGCAGAAGTCCGGGATGGGTGAGCCAGGCATAATGGAAGGTTGAGGGATAAAAGAAAGGGATGGTGCCTGACTATCTGGAGTGGCTGCAGTAGGCTGGTTAAAATGTGCCACATAAACATGATGGTGTGCGCTTGTCCTTTTTAAACAACTGGGAAGTCATGGCTTGCTGACTAACTTGAACATTATTTCCTAATTTTGAAAAGAAATTTATGAAGAGGAGGCCAAAATAGAGTAAGATTCACTTTCTGAGACACATTTCTCTTTTCTCTATATAACTAATACCCGAAAGTGTTGAATATAAGCTAGGCTTCGCTACTTTAAAAATCACTCGTATGCTTTTAGCACTGTCAGAAAAGCATGGCTAAATCTTCAAATAATGAAAAACCAAATAATCAAGAGCTTTTTCTTACCGAAATATATCACGATGGTTTTTGATATTCCAATCATATTCACCTTTACTGACAAGTTCGAAGAATTCAGTTCTCCTCCTGCACAAAAATCAAATGAAGAAAGAAAGAGGAAAAAAAAAAAACAAACCTGGAATGAGATTTCTCAGTCTGTGGGGTGACATAAACACATTTACGGGGGAAAGTATAAGACCACCTGAACCAAGTAACTTAATATTTGAAATCATGAAGCTAAAGTGCTATCAAAATAAATCATTTTTTAAAAAATGTTGCGATTGCAAGAAAAAGCCACATTCATTTCTGAATGTATTTACAACAGAGGAGAGTATAGAGCCATAAAACAGAAAACGATGTGGTACTGCATTTAGCATTATGTGCTGTGAAGCCCTTTGTGACACTTACTGAAAGTCAAAAAAAGGGAGGCAAGGACAAATAAAAAGTAGGAACAATTCTGGAATGTTCTTTTTCATTCAGCATAGAACTGAGCTGTATGATGATCAAGATAAGATAAACTTCCTGGTAGTAAATTCACGATAAATAGTTTTTCCAGGTTAGAAAATAACCATTTCACCATTTCAGTGCTTAAGCACATAGGCTCTGAAGTCAAAAGACAACTGGGTGTAAACACTGGCTCAGTCACCTACTTGCTGGGCAACTTTGGGAAGTTACTTAAACCCTCTGAGCCTCTATTTTCTCATTTCTAACCTGGGGATTATATTTGCGAACTCGCAGAGTAATTGTGAGTATTAAATGAGATATGTATTTACCAGTGTTTGTACTTTTTAAGTACTCAAAACACACACACACACAAACACACACACACACCCTCTATACATCTCCAAATGGACAAGACAAGAAGACAAGAGGGGTATATTTTAAAGTTGTGAGAATAAGGGTGATTTATTTCTCTTTAAAATTTTTCTTTAATCTAGTTATATGACTTCTTTTTTACAATGAGTAATTTTAAAAAGGACATGGCCATTTTGATTCCTTTAAGAATGACTTCCCGTGTTTCACCCTCTAGGCACTTTCTATTGAGAGAGTATTTAAAGGAACTTGATGCCTCTTTCCCAAAGTGCATCCTGCAAATTCTCATCTCAGGAAGTGCTCCATGAAAAGGGATTCCCTGGCAAAGTAGGTTTGAGAAATGCTGCCTACAGTATACTTCTCTTGGTGATTTGCAGCACCCAAGTCAAGCTTTTGAAGGCTCTGAGAAACAGAAAAGCCTGTTTAACTGTATTTAACCACAGACGTCCACAGTACTGATACTCTAAGGAATACACTTTGGAAAAGGCCACCATTACACATCACTTATGATGGGAGTCAGACAGAGGAGGATCTTAGAAACAGTGATGACACATTACAGTCTGGAGGACAAAGAACATGATACTGAGGGCAGCTGGCTCCCCTGTGTCTGGCTTGAGGTGCCCAGGACCAGATGGCTGACTGTATGGACCTCTGACATCTGGTCATACTGGATTCTCAATTTACCCAAAAAGGTCATGTCAGGAAGTCAAATGTCTAGCTCACTGCTTTATTCAAGATATGACAGGTTCTGGACCTATCTCTTGAAGTGGATTCAGGTTAAGGCCATACCATGGCATGGGACAATCTCCACACAACCTTATAACAATTGTTAGAGATGACATGTACACAATTACACTGAAGGGCCCAGCAAAACCGGTCCACTGGGGGGGAGGGGGAGGGCAGCCTGCGCATGCTGATCATTTCTTCTTATAACTTGAACATTTTCTTCATTTGGCCCACTCCCTTCTTCATGGGGAAAAAAGGTCGTGCCTTTTTCTCCCTACCACCACTGACTATGAACTGAAATAGAAAGGGAGGGTGGTCCAGTGGAAACAGCAGGCTTTGGACGCACACTGACCTGGGTTTAATGTTGTTGTTGGGTGCCCTGGAGTCGATTCCGACTCACAGTGACCCCAGGTGACAGAGTAGAACTGCCCCATAGGGTTTTCCGTAATCTTTAGCGGAGCAGGTCACCAGGTCTTTTACCTGCAGAGTGGCTGGGTGGGTTCAAACTGCCAACCTTCCGTTAGTAGCCCAGCACTTAACTGTTGCACCACCCAGGCACCTGGGGAGTCCTGGTGGTGCAGTGGTTAAGCATTAGGCTGTTAACCAAAAGGTCAGCAGTTCCAATCCACCAGTCCTCTGGAGAAGGATGTGGTAGTCTCCTTCCATAAATATTTATGGCCTTGGAAACCCGATGGAAACTCTGGTGGCGTAGTGGTTAAGAGTTAGAGCTGCTAACCAAAAGGTCAGCAGTTTGAATCCACCCACCGCTCCTTGGAAACCCTACAGGGCAGTTCTACTCTGTCCTGTAGGGTCGCTATGAGTCAGAATTGACTGGCTGGCAACGGATTTTGGAAATCCCATGAGGCAGTTCTACTCTGTTCTACAGGATTGCTATGAGTCGGAATTGACTTCACAGCAGTGGGTTTGGGTTTTTGGTTTGGTCTCTTATTAGCTGTGTGATCCTAGGCAAGTGATTCAATGTTTCTGAGCCTCAATTTCAAGTCTAGTGGTAAAGATCTGAGATAAGGTACAGTAAGTGTTTGGCACTGGTCAATACTCAATACCTGATAGCCTTAGTTTATATGTAAATAATATTAATAGTGTTACTACCAACAATTCACGATGGACTAATTGGACTACACGGAGATTGAAAAGATCACCTAGTTCTCTCTTCTTACTGAATGAAAATTAGTTTTTTTCTTGAATAATTATGGAGAAGAAGGTTTGGTTCAACAAGTATCTATTGAACACCTATTCTGCCAAGTGTGTACTAGGCGTTATGGACACAAGACACAGGTGCTACTTTTAAACATCTCAGAGTTTAGCAGGGGCAACCAAAAAATAGTTAACTTGCCTTCAAATGTGATACTAATGATATTGCAACTAGGGTGAGGCAAGTGAGGCACCAGCCTCATGCACAAAATTTAAGGGAGTGCCAAAAATCTCAGTCATCAAGGTAAATAACAGTTTAATGCAATATTTAAAAAACTAAAATTAATGCAAAAATTCATAATAAACAACATATCAAAATTTTAAATAAAGCCAGATCTGACCCTAGACTTCCACGAGTAACCTCACTTGTCTCACCCTAGTCTTGGCCCTGAGGTGACTAATATTTACAGGGGCGCTTAGTGTGTACCTGGCAGACTTCCTGGGTTCTGCCACTTACCACTACCCATGTGATTTGGGTAGGTTACTTACCCTTGAGGGGCTCCAGTTTTCCTACCAGTAAAAGGGTAATAGTAATGAGATGTATTAATAAAAAATGATTTACATAAAGCACTTAGCAGAGTGCCTGGCATATATTAGGTACTCAGTATGGATTAGCTACTGTTACTAAGCTCAGAGGGGTTGAGTATCGGGCCCAAAGTTTCACAGCTGGGATCAAACACTATCTGTTGGAATAAACAGCGTGTACTCTTAACCATTGCCACCAGGTAGCAAAGATATGCCCAGGTGTCCTGGGAGCACAGAGAAAGGCACTTAGCTTAGTTTGGATGGTCATGGAGGATCACGGAAGGCTTCCTGGAACAGCTGATGGAGTCATTGTCCCTGTCATCATGTGCACCTGGATAGCCATTTCAAGCCTATGAGTTATTCTAAGAAATCACTACAATGCAAACTCCATGAGGACAGGCTGTTTTGTTCATTGATGCATCCCAGCACCTACAATAATGCATATGGTGTGTAGTGGGAGCTCAATAAATATTTGTTGAATTGAAGAATGAAATTCATTTCCCCCGTATAGTTGTTTATCTCAGAAAGCTATTTATTTTTAAAAAAGAACTTTTCAGTCACTGCCTTTACCTAGGTTTAATCGTTTGGGGTCTCCCCAGTTGACATTTGGAAAGATTGAGATAAGGAAACAACATAAAATACATTCAGGAAAAGCCTTGTAAGACTCTTGAAGACTAGTTTCTAACTTGAAATACGTGGACAATATAACAAGTAATAGGAAATAAGAACACAATTCCCATTTAATGTCTGACCCTCCCTCCACTAACTATTGTTATATCTGCTGAGAGTAGGTTCCGTATATCACAACATCTTTGATACAAAGAGGCATATTACCACAGTGGCTAACTCAATGCAGAAAGCAAGTTCTTTTTTTTTTGTTCTGATCTATAACATGGCAACTAAATAGCACCATAAGAATAAATTCCCCAGTGCTGAAAATTTTAACAGCTAAGTTGCTGGTGTGAAAGCTTTATATCAACAGAACTCAAAATCGGTCATAGGCTTCACATCACATTAACAAAGCTAGATTCCACTGCGTCAGGATGAAAGGGAATATTCACTAATTTTAGGGGATGGCGGATACAGGAAGGGTGGAAGAAATTTTTTCATAGGGCATGGAAAAATGATTTTTCCTCTACTGACAAAAGCGTGGTTATTTCTTGATAGGTTCTATTTAGTCTGAGGTCCCAAGATTTGGTTATGAACTCAGAAGATAATAGGAGACTTCCTACACACCATAGATTTGTCAAGATAAACACGAGAAATATCTAGTCACTAGTGGAACCATGTACATCGCACATCTGGTGATATATTCGGTCACATAAACAGCCAAATAGACGCTTTAAACTTTAAAACTAACTGTATTTTAAATTTTTAAAAAGTTATGGATAAAAGTCCTTCTTGAAAGATCAGGAGGTGGGGTTAATCATTTTCATATAGCTGCAGAAAGGATTTTGAAGGGATGTTATGAAAAGATTTATTATGTACATGTAATGTATTTTAAAAGGTGTAAAAATTATACAATGGGCAGAGAGAATTTAGGCACCAACCTAGAGATATTTTTCCCAGCTCTTTTGAGGCCCCTGGGTGTCTCTACACTGCTGATTCTGTCTCCCTCCCGCCTACATAAAATGACCATTTCCTAAATATTGTATAAGTCATCCTCACAAATAGCCTTAAAATTTTACAAAATAAATGATATACAATGTTATTTCACATGTTTTAAATCTTCATATAGATGGTATCATCAGAGTGTATGTATGCTTTGGCCACTTGCTTCTTTCACTTATTGTTAGTTTGTGAGATTCATC